GCACCAAAACTTTAGCCAGTTTCCTTGCTTCTTGGTTTTTGTAACAGTACCGATTTCTAACACTTAGAGAATTGATCTCCACCTAAAAGACCATTTTTGAGTTTCTCTGAATCCGGTAAAAATGCCATGATATCCAAAGCCACCTGCCAAAAGAGAAGGCTGGGCTTCCAAGTCTGCAGTGGATTATTTTGTTTCTTTTCAGGTTTCTTTTGGTTTTAGGATGCTTACAGCTTTTCACCCAATCATTATTTTTTCTACTCATTCCGTTTGTTGTAAAGTGTTTTCCTGGCCGAAATGTCCAAAAAATTTGAACAGCAAAACGAATATTTCCTCCATAAACGACTGATTCGCTACAATTTGTTGACAACGTACTGTTTTTTGTCAGTTTCTTTTTTTTAAAAGGTTAATTTTGATTATCAAATTACCAAAGTTGGTCCAATCAAACTATCAAAAGAGGTCCAAAACTTCCGTAACATTTTTCAATAGTCACTCATTTGCCTTTTATCCAGCCTCTCATTGTTTTGTACCCGGATTTTTGCGGTTTTAATTCTTTCAATCCTAGTTCAATCGTTTGTAACTCCAAGTCAGGAGTTTTAAGTGCTTTTTTCAGATATATTTCGAAACATCTGTTGTTTTCCGATTTGATTAATCACTTCATCAGTGCTAGTTGAACTCTTAGTAGGCAGTATGCAAAGAAAATTTTTTCTGCTTCTTGCTTGATTTCGAATTGGAACTGCCCTAGTTTTTCAAACCATCTAGTTGTCATATCATCTGGCTCATGGAAGATAAAAAGCAATGTTAAAGCTCTGCAATTCGTGACTTTTAGGAAGTTCCATCCCAACATAAAGTTCCGGAAGTGTTGGATGAAATGAACGTTTGCGTATAAATTTTTTTTGTTGACGAGTATTTCGATTATCCTTTATCCAGTGTTTTGCCGGCGTACACAACGACTTGATTCACATTTTGATGATTATATGTCAATGTGACTCCAATCCCATTGTCCGTTCTTAGGGTACACATTTTTTTCTTTCCGGTGTCCCAGTGGGGTGCTGGCCGTATTATTGGTGCTTCCTACAATGCTGTCTTACAAGCTTCATTAAGAAAGAGCTTTTTGCCCGTATAAAGAAGTTGTAAAGAAGCGCCACCGTTTTTCCGAATCCTTCAAAAAATTTTCGGTAGAATTCAAGGTGTAGTAATACCGCCCACATTTGTTTGATAATATTAGGATCTCTTTTGTCTTCCCCGACTCACCTTTATCAGTAAGTCAGCTACAAATAGTCCGGTTTTTTCTTCGAATTCCGGTATCCTATCATTTAAACTTGCTTAGCAATTGATACTCTTTTCATCCTTGATGACAATTTCTACTAGCTTTTCATGTCTGCTGGGGTTTTCTGCATTTCTCTCTGCTTTTGCGAAAAAACTTGGACAACGGTCGTTGTTTGTGCTGATTTAGGTAGCATAGTACGATGTTTCCTATTGTACAGCAACTGTTCGCCAATATTTAAAAATTCTAGATTCATCTTGAAAATGAAAACATGAAGGCAATGTGTAAACAGCTATCCGCCGTTATCAAAAACTCCTGCACGAATTCTTCTGATTTGGGTTTCAATTGTACTCTGATGTGCACACTGCCAATTATTTTCAACGACAAATTTTAAGCCGCAAATACTTAACTTATAAAAGCTTTCATGATTCCCGTCGTTCATACGTGTCGAAACTCATGAGAAAAATGCTACTTCCGCTGCCTAACAGTCCTGTTAATAAGTTTTTATTCTATAACTTTGCGCGACTCCATTTTTCCTTTCATTGAATAACTCCTGTAGTTCTCAACCAAGATCAACGTTCTTCTAATAGTTTAAATATCTCCTAATGTAAGAATATTCTAATAAGACTCCAGGCAAATTCCATTCAAATTGAAAATTAACATAAATCCTTGCAAAGAGATTGAGCACGAGAAAGGGCGTATCAGCTCTAGTCGCAACCCATCATTAAAAGCATTCTACGAGCAGTTCCATCCATGACTGATCAAGCACTTGGTCTGTTTCAGTTAATTCACTTCTCACCCTATATGTACGCCCACCTTCCTCTTCATCGACCTCATGGGGAGCTATCTCCCAACACTACTCTTCACTTCTTTCTGTGTATCCAATGCAATCCAGTGGCTCCTGGAACTGTTCTTCGTTGAACTCGTAGTGGCCAAGGTGGCTCAATGCAGTGCATGACACCAAGGCTTCTTATACCAATGTATGTTCCCGTTGGCATACCGCGGCTATCCCTCGGTACATACAGTTTTCACCTTTGTTTCCCCCGTATATAAAATCTCAGTTGCAAGCCTGCTTGTCAATGTACTGCGTCAAAACGCTAGTAGATTTCAGATATGGTTGTTGTCCACCAATTAATTTCAAAGAGACATCTGTTCACTCTGACCAACTACTCGGCTCTTCACATCTTTAGAGGCCTTACCCTCAATTCTGCGGCGTTTCGTTTTGTCAAAAATTCTGCGGCGTTTATGTCGAAACTTGTTAATTGTAAACAATTAAGGTCACCTTTCTCTCAACTTGACTTTTGACATTACAGACAAGCTGACTCACTCGTTTCTCTCAACTTTTCAAAAACAGCATGACTTACAAGGAAATGACAAACTTTCAGGTAAAATAACGTTTCAATTTATACGAAAACTCGGGATTAATATCAACTTTTCTGAATAACCCCCTTATTAACAGTTCCCTTTTTCTAACGTTCGCCTTTTAGTATTCCCCGTACTATGTAATATAATATCCCTATTTATGATATTATATTTACCTTAGTTTTATCCCTGATTTACTATTGTATTATTTTTCATGTACTTACTGAACTGATGCCCAACTGCATGGAACTCCTTTGACTCAACCCTTAAAACTACCCTTACTAACAATTGGTGTACTATTCTCCTCAGGTAATTACCCAATTGTTATATTGGCGCCCCGAAAAAGTTTTGATTAGCTCGTTACACTGTGTTTTTTATTCCCCCACAACCAAAAATTTATGGTTAGTTACTGTTTTTCCTCCCCAGTTTTTACGTCTGCGGTTTATTATATCTTGTTATAATACTCCCCCATTACAATATTATTTCATTTATTTACAGTTAATCGCAGTTTATTTGATTTACATTTTAAAAAAAAAAGATCAATTATTGCTCTTGATTTCTAACCCATGTAAACTTTAAACGTTTCAATTGTTCATAGCTTTATTTACTTTGAATAATGTATTAAGTTATTTTCATCAATTTTCCCCTTTCAATTCGTTTTTTGTTGCTTTGCTATTCCGAGTCTTTTGTGACTCATTTATGAAAAAACTTCAGTTTTCCCGACTCATTTTTCATTCCGTTCAGAGTTTTTATTGCCTTTTGCGTTCCTTTCCGAGTCTTTCCTGACTCAATGTTTCATTCCTTTCCGAGTCTTTCTCGACCCATTTGTTGTTCGTTTCCGAGTCTTTCCCTACTCATTCATTCATTCCTTCCGAGTCTTATCTGACGCCTTGTATATTCCTTCCGAGCCTTTCTTGGCCCTTTGCTTCCTTCATTGCTTCCTTCCTTCAAGTGTTTTCTGACACTTTTGCTTTCTTATTGCCCGACTCCTTGGTTACCTGATTCGAGTTCTTTTTGGACTCTCAATTTTCGTCATTGTTCTTCGACATGACATTTGTTTGAGCTTTATCTGAGCTCACTTATTCCGCTTGCTTCGAGCCTCACTGGGTTCGTGGCTACATTCGAGCTTCGTCTTAGCTCATCTTATTTTCTCCTTTGAGCCTCTCGGTTCTTGGCTGCTTCCTGTCGAGCTTTACCTGAGCTCATTTCCTCTGCTGCTTCGAGCCTCACTGGGTTCGTGGCTACATTCGAGCTTCGTCTTAGCTCACCTTATTTTCTGCTTTGAGCCTCTCGGTTCTTGGCTGCTTCCTGTCGAGCTTTACCTGAGCTCATTTCCTCTGCTGCTTCGAGCCTCACTGGGTTCGTGGCTACATTCCAGCTTCGTCTTAGCTCACCTTATTTTCTGCTTTGAGCCTCTCGGTTCTTGGCTGCTTCCTGTCGAGCTTTACCTGAGCTCATTTCCTCTGCTGCTTCGAGCCTCACTGGGTTCGTGGCTACATTCGAGCTTCGTCTTAGCTCACCTTATTTTCTGCTTTGAGCCTCTCGGTTCTTGGCTGCTTCCTGTCGAGCTTTACCTGAGCTCATTCCTCTGCTGCTTCGAGCCTCACTGGGTTCGTGGCTACATTCGAGCTTCGTCTTAGCTCACCTTATTTTCTGCTTTGAGCCTCTCGGTTCTCGGCTGCTTCCTGTCGAGCTTTACCTGAGCTCATTTCCTCCGCTGCTTCGAGCCTCACTGGGTTCGTGGCTACATTCGAGCTTCGTTTAGCTCATCAACTGCTTCGAACAACTCTAGTTCGTCTCATTCGCTACGCTACAGCGATAAAGGCAAATTGTCCTCTGGGAGGTCAACTGGTATAAGTGCAAATTTTATTGCACAGGGATAAATCTACGGTATTAGGACAGGTAGGTAAACAGGTACATCAACTTTAGTTGTCCTCTGGGAGGTCAGCAATCACAATTCGGTCGTCTGCTAAATAGCGACAGGTAGGTAGGTAAATACGTCATCCTCAGTTGTCCTCTGGGAGGTCAACACTCATTGGTGCTAATCTTTGCACCCGGTTTTTTTTTGCCGTTTATACTGGTAATTGGTGGGTAGGTAGGGTCGGTAGGCTGGTAGGACCAGGTAGGTTCTTGGACTAGCTTTAAAATCGCAGTTAATTGTTAATACCGAGGACACTTTGAACGACCGCTCAATTTTCCCTCGGAGGTAGGTACAAGTGGTAAGGTACAGTGGTAATTGGTTAAACTTTATCCATTATTTCGCTCCTTCTTACGAGCATCGGTGGTATTCGGTATAAGTTGGTAGGTTGGTAAAGGTAAATTCATATACTGGTATAAGTTGGTAGGTATTGGTTTACGTCTCCTGGTTCAAGGTATGGCCCCATCCGGTAGAAATAAAACGACGCAAAACAATGACAGCGATCCTTCGGAACAAAATGGTACCCAAACGCAAGATACCAATCAAAACGTTCAAGAGACTGGCGTTCGAAAACTGGTTTCGCTTCGACGTCATCACGAAATGGAGATCAATACTTTGATCGACATGCTCGAAAACAACATCTACGAGGAAGAAGATGATCTTGAACTCATCAATGAAACGTTCACTGAATTGTCTCAATTCCAACAAAAACTTGATACCCTGAACGATCAAATGTTACAGGCTGGTTCTGAACACGATTTTGAAGAATATTCTCACTGGACAGTACAGTTGAAACAGAAAATCCGAGTATTTTCAATGAAAGTGAAAAAATATTTGAAAAAACAAGTATCAAATCCTGCTACTTCTACAATTCCAAATAACAGCGCTCAAGAAAATGCTACTTCAATTTTCCCACAGGAAACCGCAACCTCCATGCCGACTGCAAACACAATGGATATACCAAACAACAACCTTATAACCATGAGCAACAATACTCAAGGCAATGCAAGAAAAGCTGCCTCTGACGACAACCTTTCGGCGCCATTTCAAGGCGACCAATCATTTTCAAATCCATTTGCTAGTGATGTTCCTAACCACAGCTCACAACAAGCTAGTGCTGCAAACCCTCCTAACAACAACAATCGAGCTTTGGCAACTAATTCAAGCGACACTTCTACTACATTCAGTCGATCAGTGCCAAAACTGAAGCCTACAATTTTCAATGGCAATCCTAACTATTGGTTGCACTGGTATGGTGTATTCGTATCATCGATTCATAATTCTAATATGTCTCCAACTGAAAAGATGATCCATCTTCAATCATTGGTAACTGGCCCAGCTAAACTAATGATAGCTGGTTATGGTGCAAACGGCGACACATACGAACTAGCACTACAACGTCTTCGTGAAAACTTTGGCAATACCAATAGAATTGTCAACTCTTTTTTGCAACGTCTTGCAAATTTCAAACCTCCAAATCTGGCTCAACCAGAATCATACATGCAGTTTTCTGCTTTTCTCCTAACTTTAGTGGACACTTTTGAGCAACTTGGTTTTGTTCACGATATTTGTTCTACAACAAACTTGAACACTGCTCTGGCAAAGCTTCCCGACCCTGTGAGATTAGAATGGAATCGCTTCGTCATCGACAAAGACTACGATCAACCCTCCTTGAGACATCTAGCACAATGGTTTCAACGGTACGCACAGGCGTGTCGCGACATGCCTCCGACAGGTTTCCGAAACCAAAACAATAACAATTTTAACAATTCTTCTGGAAACGCTAAACACTCTAGTGGTTCCCGTTTCAATGGTTTTACTACAAATGGTGTAGGAAATCAAAATCAGCGCTTTAACCATCAGGGAGATCAACAAAACTCTCGTGCTCAGAATAATGTAAACTCGAATGCTTGTCCTAGTGGAGACACCTGTGGACCTCTCTACAAATGCGAGCACTTCAAAGCCTTAGACCCTAAGCAACGAAAAGAGCATGCCCGAAAAATGCACTTATGCTTTAACTGTCTAGGGAATCATAGGTTTACTGACTGCAATTCGAAATCGCTCTGTCGAACCGATAATTGTGGTAAAAAACACCACACTCTACTCCACGATCCTTCTGATACTTATGGAAAAAACCCTAGTAAAGCTGCAGTGAATCGCGCAATAGCTTGTCAGAGATCAGGTCAATCAGCTTTTGTACCAATCGAATTATCAAATGGTGATAAAACACTTTGTACCTACGCTTTCTTAGATAGTGGTAGCTGCGTAACTCTACTACTGGACTCAGTGGCAACTCAACTAGGCTTGGAAGTCAACAAGAAGCACTCACTTCCCATATCTGGATATCATGAGACCAAGTCAGTTCAAGTTTCATCTGTGGATGTACAAATTAGACCATACAAAAGCACATCGACTCCAATGACGCTCGATGACGTACTCACGGTAGATGAAAATAATTTGGCCCCAGTTGATATTTTTCAACTAAACGCAATGTGCAACAATTTTCCACATTTAAAGCATGTTAAATACCCGGACTTAAACGACAATAGCATATCGCTAGTCATCGGAAACAACAATCCAGAATATCATGAGATCAAAAATACCGTTTATGGCCCCAAGAATGTTCCCTGGGCTATCGAAACCATTTTGGGATGGACATGCACAGGTCGGAACAAAACGCAATATAATTCCGTTCCATCTGTTCCGGTGAACTTCACACAAGTTCATTCACACAATAACTTAGATGAAAAATTATACCAGAAAGTTCTCAACTGGATGAAAATAGAAAACACAGGCATCGCTTCTTCAAAACGCTCGCACTCCAAATCGGATAAAAGAGCAATCGATATTCTCGAAAACTCTTGTACTTTAGTAGATGGTCACTATCAAATTGACCTTCTTTGGAAAGAGGATACTGATCTTCCAAATAACCGTTGGCTAGCTGAAAAGCAACTCAACAGCCTCGAATTTCGCCTTAAAAGTAAACCTGATTTAAGGGAGAAATACCGCGCAACAGTCATCACTGACTTAGAAAAAGGCTTTGTCACCAAAATAGATGCAAAACATGACACTGCAATCAAATCTTGGTATTTGCCGCATCATCCAGTGACAAATGTCAACAAACCAGACAAAGTTAGACGAGTCTCAAATGCTTCCAGCATTTTTCAGGGTAAATCCCTCAACTCGAGTTTGCTCAAAGGGCCCGATCTTTTGTGCAACTTAACAGGTCTCATAATTCGCTTTCGACAAAATAAAATAGCAATATCTGCTGACATAGATGCTATGTTTATGCAAGTGCTAGTCAGCCCAAAGGATAGACCTTTTCTAAGATACCTTTGGAAAGATAATGGTAAATTAGAAACTCACGAATATACACGACACATTTTCGGTGCCACAGACTCACCATGCGTGGCTTGCTACGCAGTACGACGATGTGCATCAGACAGTAAAAACGACTTTCCTCTGGCTTCTAAAATCATTCAACGGAATATCTACATGGATGATTTGTATGTCACTTCGTCAACGGTAGAAGAAGCCCTCCAACAAATGACACAACTACGAGGATCTTTATCTCGAGGTGGGTTCAACTTGAATAAGTGGAACTCAAACAGTAAACCATTCCTGGATTCAATTGATCCAAATATTTTAGTCAGCCCTAATGATCCAACGCCTAAACATCAACGAGTTCTCGGTGTTCACTGGAATACCAACACTGACTGCTACTTCATCGATAACAAAAAGTTTGTAAAAATTCTACGTATTGGCATTGCTACGCAACGGAAACTCCTGAAGTATACCGCTTCTTTATTTGACCCTCTCGGAATAGTGGCTCCATTGACAATTCGGATTCGAAAAGTTCTCCAATCTGTTTGGTCACAAAGCGTTAAGTGAGATACTCCATTAGACACGGATAAACTTCCCGATTTCAAACTTTGGGTAGACGAAATGGAAAATTTCGAAACTGTTTCATTCCAAAGGAACTTCTTTGATAAAGAAAACCCTGCTTCAATCCAGCTTCACACGTTTTGTGATGCATCAGAATTCGCTCTCGCTGCTGTTTGCTACCTAAGAATAGTCTACAGCGACGGCTCCACATCTTTGAAGTTTATAATAGGAAAGACAAGAGTCGCTCCTATGAAACGTGTTACAATTCCCAATCTCGAGTTGCAAGCTGCAGTATATGCTGCCCAACTATCGCTCTTTGTTTCAGAGGAAATTGACCTCAAAGTTGAAAAAACTTATTTTTGGTCTGACAGTACTACTGTTTTGTATTGGCTGCGAACACCTGAAATACGACACAAAATTTTCGTCGCTAATCGGCTTCAGAAAATTTTAGACGTTTCTAAAGCTGAACAGTGGTTTCACGTTCCAACTCTGCTAAATCCTGCTGACGACGGTACCAGAGGATACATTGCTTTAGAAATGACCTCAAGCTGTCGGTGGCTACTAGGACCGGAATTTCTGTTGAACGATTCTTCTCAATGGCCTTAAAGGAAAACATTCGGCTTGAGAACATTCCTGTATTCGTTACTTCATTAGAGTCTAAATTTGAGCCTATATTTGACATCAAACGCTTCAGCAACTGGAAAAGACTAATACGGACAGTTGCATACTGCTTCTTATTCGCAGAAAATCTCAAACGGAAGATCAACAAACAGTCGAAGGTCGATCTTCAACTCTTGCATCTAACGAAATCGCACTTTCTCATAATTGAAACTGCCCAAAGGACAGATTTTGTCTCTGAAATTTCAGACATCAAAAAAGAAAAACCAATTGAAGGCAAAAGTAGACTTCGAACATTAGCACCGTTTGTGGACAACTTCGGTATCCTGCGTTCTCGTGGACGTCTCACGCGTGCCCCTATCATGCTATCAGCTAGATATCCAATCATTCTTGCTGGTGAAAACCCCAATGTTCGCCTGCTGTTAGCTAACATCCATGTTCTACATTCCCACTGCGGAAAGGAACAAGCAATTGCCATAGCACAGGAAAACTACTGGATTCTTCGCTGCCGCGTCATGCTGAAAAGTATCATACACAGTTGTATACCCTGCAGAAGAATGCAACAACAAGTCGACTACCCTCAGATGTCAGATCTTCCAATTGATCGACTGCCATCAAAAATCATTTTCCTTTTGCAACGACTGGATTGGACTACGTTGGACCTTTTCCCATCATCCTTCAAGGAAAACAATACCAAGCGTATATTTTACTTTTCACATGCTTAGTGATCAGAGCTGTGCATCTTGAAATCTCATTAGGACTATCGACAGACAGCACTCTTCTTTGTATCAGACGCTTTTTTGCCCGGCGAGGAAAACCATCGAAAATGGTTTCTGATTGTGGGACAAGTTTTGTGGGCTCCAATTCTGAGCTGAAGAAATGTCTAGACAACTTGGAAAAGAACAAAGAATTTGTGGAAAGCATCAATCAGCTGGACGTATCACTCGAATGGAAATTCAACCCTCCTGCGGCCCCTCATTTTGGTGGTTCTTGGGAACGACTAGTTCAGATATTTAAACTTTCCCTGTACAAAGTCATCGGATCAAGAACACTCTCCTATGAAACACTGGCTACTTTCACGACCGAAATTGAATCAACCATGAATTCACGACCTTTAACCAATGTGTCTGACGACATCAAAGATGATCTGCCTCTCACTCCCAACCATTTCCTTCTTGGTCGTGGAACTCCAAATTTACCGCCTGGTATCTTCAAAGACAAGGATTTATCTCTGTCAAAATCATGGAAAGCATCCCAACTACTCGCAGATCACTTCTGGAATCGCTTTCTTCGAGAGTACTTACCAGGTCAGCAGAAACGATCAAAGTGGACTTCTGCTACTTCCAATTTGCAACCCGACGACATGGTCTGGATGTTGGAGGATTTTACACCTCGTGGACTGTGGCCTCTTGCTAAAGTGGTGGAAACCTTTCCTGGACAAGATGGAATAGTCCGCTCAGTGAAGCTGAAAACGCCAACTGGATTCAAAGTTCGACCTGTGGTCAAATTGAGCCGCGTTTTCCCAGTTTCGCAGTAACCAAGCTCCAAATAGCTAACCAACCAAATAATCACGCAACTCAGCCTTCAACATATCAACTCGACAAAGATGAACAAATCTACGACTCTTCAATTCAACTAAGACAATCAGCTCAACGATAGACAAACCAAGATGAAGATGAAAAAGAACAATTTCTGGTTCCCTTATCTACTGGTTCCCTTATCTTTGTATTTTACCGTATCCTTACTATTTTATTCAATACTTTATTTGCAAGCTCTGCAAATGTGGGCGGGTGTTAATTGTAAACAATTAAGGTCACCTTTCTCTCAACTTGACTTTTGACATTACAGCCAAGCTGACTCACTCGTTTCTCTCAACTTTTCAAAAACAGCATGACTTACAAGGAAATGACAAACTTTCAGGTAAAATAATGTTTCAATTTATACGAAAACTCGGGATTAATATCAACTTTTCTGAATAACCCCCTTATTAACAGTTCCCCTTTTCTAACGTTCGCCTTTTAGTATTCCCCGTACTATGTAATATAATATCCCTATTTATGATATTATATTTACCTTAGTTTTATCCCTGATTTACTATTGTATTATTTTTCATGTACTTACTCAACTGATGCCCAACTGCATGGAACTCCTTTGACTCAACCCTTAAAACTAACCTTACTAACAATTGGTGTACTATTCTCCTCAGGTAATTACCCAATTGTTATAAAACTAACGAATATTTAATGGGGGAATGTGTTTTTTCTCTGATTACGTGAGTTTGACAACAGATCGTATTGTTTTTATTAACTAACTTATTTCTAGTTTCTGTTATTTCTGTTAATTTGCTTAACAATTTTCCTATTACTTTTTGGAGCTCCACTTAAAGTTGTTTTCGCAGTTTTGATCCCCGGCTTATAAAAGATAGGCGACCATTAATTTACTTCTCGATCCAAAACATATCAAGTCAGGATGAACACAGTTTCTTTGGCTCCCATTAAACCCAGTCTTTTCATTATCTACCTCTTAATCCTTTCCACGGGAGTTAGTTTCGGCTCTTTTTCATTACACCCCCCCCCCCCCCCCCCCCACATCACATCAGCATCAATTTTATGGTGTAATGAGGTTTTTACAAAATTATTTATGAAGACAAAAGATGTTTGTCATGGCCTAATTATTAAGCATGTCAATTTTCATAACAATCTTTTGGTGGGAACAGTAATTTTACTTATAAAAATTTGCAGGTGGGGGAAACCGAAAAAGAGCCCTAGTTTCTCATTACTTCTAATTATTTCGTTCTGGTAAACCGAAGCAGTTCAGTGACTCCTGGAACTGTTCGTCACCAATCTCAACTGATGGTAATCCACTGAGCTCTTTGCGATGCATCACTCTCATGCTTCTGACATCAGACTATGATCCATGTCGGAACGCCGGCTGGCTCGAAGTAGATTCAATCTTCAGCTTGGTCCTGCCGGCATAGAAAAAATCCGTTTCGTCTTTTCCGCTCAGGTTCCACCTCAAAACCTCCAATCCCCGAATTCAGTACTGCTTAATGTTTTTTTTTCAAACTGGTTGTCTCTCGCTTGGCTAAATCAATTGGGATTAGTTCACTCTGACCAAGTTCAAGACTTTTTCCACGGTTAGCGGCATCAACCTCGGTTATTCGGTGCTCCTTTTTGTCAAAAAAACAGCAGCCATCAATTCTGTCAAAAAAAAATTTTGCTACATATCTAAAGTGTCTCAAAGTTCAACTTACGAGGGGACAATATCTTAATGGGGAAAGGATAATTCTCTGATCACGTGAGTTTGACACATCTGGGCAAAACAAGCCTTTTTGTTTAGGTTGCCAAAATTATTTCTTCTTTCTGTAATTTTTTTAAATCTGCTGTCAAGTATTCTCAAATTCTTTTGTCTGAGCTTGACCTGAAATTGTATTTGCAGTTTTGCTCTCCGGCTTATCAAAAACGGGCGCCCAATGTTTTTACTCCACGATCCGAAACATATCTAGTCAGGATGGACTTAGTTTCTTTGGCAACACTCAAGCGAGCTTCCCCATTATTTATCTCCTAAACGCTCCAACGGTATTTTGTCTTTTTTAAAAAAGTTTCATCTGGGTACCAATAGAGTCCAGAGCCGCCTGGATTTTTTCCTCGATGAGCTCAAGCGTGGTAAACAACGGTGTTAAATGAAGTACATTGCACCTCCGCTTCTGACATATTTCTATGATCCATGGCCGCATGCCGGCTGTCCCGAGGTACATTCAACTTTCACCTTGGTCTTCCCAGTATGTAGAATTCCCTGTTCAGATTATGCCTCGAAACCTCCCATATCCCTTTCAGTACCATTTCACGCTTGTGCTTCTCAAAACTCATTGTCTTCAATCGGGCCAAAATACTGGGATCTGTTTGATCAGACCAACCTACGGACTCTTCTCAGAGTTATCGGCATCACGTTTGGTTTTGTGACGTTTCTTTTAGTGTCAAAAAGACCAGCGACCGTCGGTGTCAACAATTTCTTCATTACATGACGTGTCATGACTCAAAGACCAGCTTGCATGGGGAAAATTGTTTAATGGGGAAATGATCCTTCTTTTATTACCTAAAATTTGCTCATCTGATCCAAAAGGACCCTTAATTAGATTAATAAACACAATTCTATCTTCTGATTGCCTGCTAATCTGTAATTGAGGTTTTTACTTGTTTCTATATCTAAACCTGGCCTCAATTTGGCGTCACAGTTTTGATCTCCGGCTTGTCGGAAGTCGGCGACCTCTGCTTACACTGCACGTTTAACGGCGAATCTGGTCAGGATGGGAGAATCCCATTGGGACCCACCAAGTAGGCTCTTTTGCGTTATTCTTCCTAAATGTGCGCAGTGGGCATCGCGCCAAC